CACGAACCTCAAATAACAGTATATAGAGATTGTTGGACGTCATTCATTTTTTGTGTATTCTACCTGTATGGGATTATTTTATTTAGTTAGCTTTATTATATGCATTTTTCTCTTCTGAATTACATTTTTAGTATTACAATAATTATTTATCATCATAACTGATGAACAGCGCATTTTCCGCGGTGTCTGAAGGTCTCAACGTACCGTCCAAAGCAGCGCTCATTCGATTTAACATAGCAAATCCAATTTTGAAGACATTCGAACCATGCGTGCACTCAATCAAACAATCTAGAAAATCACCTTCATCACAAGTATTAATCGTAAAAAAAACAATTGCAAATGAATTGCCGGGTTTTCCTTTTGTTGTTTGTAATTATTCTAAAGTGCTGTCAGTTTTGAAAGACAATGTTGAGTAGGTGCCATAAGGAAAAAAGTGGCGTTTTTAATTTTTACAGGCAGTTCAACTTGAGTTCGTACCGATAAGAGAAATTGAAGAAAAGAGCTATAATCGAAGTTCTCCCTTCAGACCGGAAGCTTTTGTCGTTTCGCTTAAGACTCAAAAGTCGAGCATTTGCTAAAGTGTGCGTCTTACATTTGAACCTTGCTGTCAAGCTGTAAACAGACGGTGCAATTTCGTACCGTGGCTAATATAAAAGTGGCAAAATTTGGGCGAATGTGATAGATTTCATGATTCGAACCACAATCTTAGTAGACTTCACCAGCGGATTTAGGGGGGTGAGGGCGGACACCCCCCCCCCCTCAGGCCCCCCATTGTTCTATTATAAGACATCCATTTTTGGCTGACTGACCCTAAAATTTTTCTAAAGGCGCCTTGGCGCCAAATATACTGATTTTGAAGGAGGGGGGGAGGGGAGGGGAGGGGGAGTGCGCGCCAAAAAAACACGATTTTTTTTCAGTCAAAGTTTTCCACAAAGTGCCTAAAAACGCCATTTTTTTAAATTTGCCTGCGGTGCCGGAAATTTGGTCCAAATGGGGTCTATATAGTGGTTTGGGAGAGCTCAGAAAATCATTTTGTTTGAACTAAAAAAATCCTAGATCCGCGCCTGGTAGACTTTCATAGCTCGAACGTTTGATGGATATCTTTATCTGCACTACCTTCACTTTTTACAAAGGGGGATTTTGTACTTTACTATACCATGCCGTGCCCATACAAATGTACCAAAGGCACGCTACTGTATGAATTATTTTCAAATAGCGGCCAATCCTCTCAACAGCCGCCCCGTTGGAGGAATTGTTAGAGATGTCCCTTATGATGCACTGAGTTCTGAGCTTATTCAAAAGAGGGGATAACTTGAACGATTTAGGGATTTTAAATTAGATACCCCTCCCCCAAGAGGGTACATTGTTTGTTTAGTGTGTAGTGTAATGCTTTGTTTAGTACTGACCCTGTGTGAAGAGGATGAGCGGTGTCCACTGGTAGTATCGAATCAGACGGGGGGCATATCCGTCTATTATAGCGTCGTGATGGGAGGTGAGGGGTAGGTAGTTCGTGTTCATCACCCAACAGTACGAGTCCACATATTGTTGCCACTGGGAGTTGAACTCGTTCGGACTCCAGCAGATGATGGACTCCCCCACGAACTGCCGAGTGACCACCAGAGTGCCCAGCACCACTATGGCAACAATAAACAAACCATGAAAAACACACACACACACAAAAAAAAACAAAAAATAAAGAAACAAACAAATAAATATCTTAATAAATTCGGTTCCGCGAAGCTCAGAAACATCTACCATAATAACAAAAAAAATATTAATAAATTAATTTTCGGCAGATACAAAACAAAGTTTGGTTATAACAGAAGTTGAAAAAAGTTTATTGCGGCCCGTGAGAATCATAAATGCAGCATGCATCACCAACCAAAAACGGAGAAGATGTTTTAAAAAATGCAAAAAAAAATGTCTAAGGGTGAATGGTGTGCACAGAAATTTTTTGGTCAGCCATTTCGAATTTCGCCAAAACCTTTGGTTGACCATATACAGTTTCTTTCTTTCACCTCAAGCAGGTAATTATCTAAGAAATATTGTCTTTGAGCTTTTTAAAATGCTTCCCTCAAAAGACAAAACTTAACTTTTGTTCGATGTATAGTTTTAGAACTGAATGTTTGTTCGAAATTCTATTTTTTTTTATCATCCACTTCATCGCAGTAAGTTGGTTTGGAAAGGCTAATAAAAATTAAGAAAAATTTGTTTGAATGTTACTGGAAGCTAGAGGCAAGTCTTTCATCATGTTTCAAAATTTTTGTGGGTTGCACTTGCAAAAATTTCTTGCAAAAAAAGATATAATTAATTTGTCACAAAAAAAGGAAATGTTTCTTTTTGTGCACCCTGAAAACGCTTCTTGAAAAACTTATAATGCAGCAAGAACTGCAACTCAAAAGTGTTAGATATGGAGTTTCACTAAGCTCCTCCGTACTGTATTTATGCCAGTTCGTTTTTCGTCGAACGAAGCGATTCCAAAGTTTTTATCGTCTGCTGCGATGGGAATATAAAAAATCACATGTGTTAATAAAAGTTTTAATCTTAGCAAACCAAAAAAATTGTATATTATTTGTCGAAAATAACGTTTCATCTATTTAATATCAGCAAAAAAAACGTCGCTGTTTTAGATTGTGAACTTATTAAATATTTATCGAAAACTGAAAAAAATGACAGGGAAAACTTAAATTAATAATGAGTATGAAAACTCTTCAGAGTATTTGGTGTATTACGTAGGCCCAAATTTCACTCACAGAAGACTCGAAAAGATGTAAAACAATTGACACGGTCGGCCCAATCTCCAATAAATCCGCTGTTCAAAGCCACCAACAGCTCCAAAAGATCCTCAACCATTTTCGAGCAAACACTGTTTTGTTAATGTTTAATTAGGTAAATAAAATTTATGCAATTTTGATTAGGCTGAAATTGACACGAGAGCAACCATTTTGCGAAAATTGTCTTTGCTAATAAGAATTCTCAAACGCGAAAAAAAAACACTAGTCCGTAATGGATAACAATAATAACAGTGCGAATGACTAAAGACTCTTGAAAAAACATATGGCACGTGTGTCATTGTTTTTAAATCTCTTCCAAACATTATCTAATGAAAAAGTTTCCTGTTATCTATTCAAAGTTATTTTAAAAAGGTCATACGTCTTTTTCTAAAGCTTATTACCACAAATTAAGGATAAAAATAAATAAAATTTGATTGGAAAACGTGCAGTCGATCACAGATGTAAGCTACATCGGCAAAAGATATTTATCTAAAACTATTTTCAATTTAAAAATTATATAAGACTGTATTTCAGTGCTTCATTTTCAACAGTTATCGAGCCAAAAGATTCTTTGCTTTGTCAAATCTGATTCAACCTGATTAGTCTGCGCAAAGCATAACTTCGTTATTGGCTAAAAAGTGTCGACACAGAGTTTAAATATCCTTGTATGCTAGTCTTGATATAACAATTAATTTTTTTTGCAAAAATTCAAAAAAGTAGCATTTGCAATCTGAGCGGTTTTAATCTATTCTAAAATTCATTAACATACAGTAAGAAAACAAGCACTGCGAAAAACAATTTGGAAGTAGCCCAAATTTTAGTTTTGATATTTTGCCAAGTTTGCATGAGTGATCATAGTGATTGTGATTGAGCTTTGCCTTTAATCAAATGGTTCCAAACGTTTTCCTTTTTTGATCCCTTTCACTATTGCCTCCTCAGTATCGCCTGGTATTGAGTTAAACTTTAAAAAAAATTTTTAAAAACTTAGAGCCCGGAATTTCTTTTTTGCCTTGTTTCACACAAAAAAACAATCAGTCAATGAAAGTTTTGCACTATTATTTAAATAACATTTTTAAATGTCCTGTCCAGTGAGGTGCTCTAATTAAATTCGTGCTCTAAATTTTTTAAGTTTTTTTAAAAAGTTTACCTCAATACCAGGCGATACTGAGGAGGCAATAGTAAAAGAGATCAAAGAAGGAAAACGTTTGGAACCATTTGATTAAAGGCAAAGCTCAATCACAATCACTATGATTACTCATGCAATTTTGGCAATATATCAAAACTACAATTTGGGCTACTTCCAATTTGTTTTCCGCAGTGCTTGTTTTCTAAATGTATGTTAATGAATGTTAAGAATAAAAAAACACTCAGAAAATAATGTTTGATGGGTTTTTCAACAAGTTAACGAGTGAATCTGGACTAGGACATGCAAACTTTTTGGAAAAAAGGGATCCAGTTTTTCCTGCTATTTTTTTCATTTTCTTTTTTTCTTTAATTCTTTAATTTTGATTTTTCTTAATTCCAATTTTACGTTTTGTTTTTCTTGGTAATTATAGCTTCTTCAAATTTTACAATCGAATGAACTGTGAGTAATCTCATAAGAATGAGTTCTTCGTTCGATTCCGTTTTTTTTTGGATTCAGTTCAAAGTGTAATCTGTTTTTGATTCAGTCGTTTCAAATCTTTAGTTAACAAATTTTTGCCGTTTGTTTTCGCCTTGAAACAAAATTTAAGTTTCACAAGACTGCTTATATATCCGGGCGAATCGTGAATATTTCCGACTGCGCATTAAGGCCAATTTAAAAGTTTTTTGATTGAAAAATTGACGAAATAGTTTAAAACAAAGATTTTTTTCTAAGGTTTTTGACATATCGCCACACACGCTAATGTAAACTACAAAGGGATGTACTTAACCTATTGTGTTCTACCAATAAGACAAAACGAATTGCCTCAATTCAAGTGGAACGCAATAATCGGCCGCTTACGTGTGTTATAAGCGCGCGTTAACTTAGGCAATTTTCCAGCTCCATAACGTTACAAATAAATCACCGGGTTTTTTTTGATTGAGCTCAAAAATCAATATCATTCAGAAGGTTTAAAAAAATTCAGTCAAAATAACTTAGTTAAGAAGTCGAAAGTAAAAAAAAAATACGCCAAGCAGAAATATTTTGCACTTTTTTCGAAAGTCGGAACAATAAAAAGCATGTTCACCCAATATTGACACAAGAGGAACGACAAAAAAGCGCACGAATCAAACCGATCGAAACAAAATATGCTGAATAAGAATAATTTATCAAATTTTAGAGCAATGATAGATCGTTGTAGTTTTTATTCCATCAGAAAAACTGGTTGAAATGAAACTCGATTATCTGTATCAGAAATTGGAAATGATGGTGTCACTGAGCTGTTGCTTGTTTTTGTATTGTTAGAAAACAAATTTGCGCTCTTTAGATTATATTCTGATTACTAATCGACAAATTTTTGGATATCACATTCTTTGCTGACAACCGAAAATTTGGTTGTCACTATAGTTGAGTTTTTATGCTTTAGAGATAAAAACTTCGCCCATTTTTTCAAATATATTAACTTTTTGCATCATTACGGCAGTTTAAAACAAGGAATAAAAAAACGTATAACTTTCGTCTTGTATCAAAAAAATCTTAAAATTCAAAACGTCGTCGCGTGCGGAACTGCCTGGATTTAAATATTATCTGACTATGTATGTCGGCGTTAACTGAGTTTAAAATAAAAATCAAAAATTTGCGAATAAGGTAAACCTAGAAAACAAAACTTATGAAGCTCAAATCGTTCATTTTAAATCTGCTGATCTATTTGTCATTGAGTGAAAATATCCAACTTTTACTTGTTTTTGGTTGTTAATTTGACGGAAAATATGTCAATAGAATCAAACACGACAGTTCGTATATCAGGGCCAATCTGGAAATGTTTCATCCGTGATTTAATACCAATTACAAAGTTTTTAGGTTAAAAAAATGAAATAATTGAAAAAAAGAAGACAAAGAAGAAGGGAATTTTTTGCCATGTTTTTTTTCTTCAATTCTTTCCACCACACGCTATTTTAAAATATGAAGGGGTGTATTTTAGCGTTTCGTATCCTAATAAAGACCAAACGACTTGCCTTTAATCCGCCTTTAAACGACCTGGAACGTGTTAATCGGTTGCTTACGCGTGTTATAAAACGCAAAATATTGCAGGTTAAATTTTCCAAATTGGCAAAATTAGCAAGTTTGAAACCCCCGTTACTCTAAGAAAAGAATGATCAAAAATGTTTTTTTTTAAATTGAGCCCAGGTTAACTATATCTTTCAGGCGGTGTTTTAAAAACGCTTAGTTAAAGGTCGAAAGTTGACCGAATAATAAAAACCACCCCAAGCTCAAATATTTCGCACTTTCTTCGAACGTCGGAAAATTTCTTTAAAAATATATGCGTTTTTTTAGTTGTTTTGTGTTTTCTAAATCCAGCAGTCATTAAATTCTATTCAACATTTTATTTGTTGTTTTCCGGGACTAATCGAGTGTTTTCTGAACTGGAGGGATGTTCAAAAAGTGCAAAAATTTCGAAATTGATGCCAAACAAATTTCATATGATAAATCTTTCAATATCGATCAAACTGTACTAGGAGTGTTTTTGATTACGCAGAGAATAAATTTAAAAATCATTTAATAAGTGTTGTGGAGCAATTTTTTTCTATGGTTAGTAACTCAGAGAACTCACAGAAAAAACGGAAGCATAGAAAGTAGTTCAAATAGTCAGCCCAGTCTCCAATAAATGCAGTGTTTAGGCGCCTCACTAACTCAACCACATCCTTCAGCATTCTCTCGTCCAATTAGATATCTTCAT